TAGAATAACACTGCATCCAGTGTGTCAGTGTAACATTGTATACAGTGTGTTAGTATAACATTGTATCCAGTGTGTTAGAATGACATTGTATCCACTGTGTTAGAATAACATTGTATCCACTGTGTTAGAATAACATTGTATCCAGTGTGTCAGTATAACATTGCATCCAGTGTGTCAGTATAAATTGTATCCTGTGTGTTAGTGTAACATTGTATACAGTGTGTTAGAATGACATTGTATCCACTGTGTTAGAATAACATTGTATCCAGTGTGTCAGTGTAACATTGTATTCAGTGTGTCAGTGTAACATTGCATCCAGTGTGTCAGTGTAACATTGTATCCAGTGTGTTCGTGTAACATTGTATCCAGTGTGTCAGTGTAACATTGTATCCAGTGTGTCAGTGTAACATTGTATCCAGTGTGTCAGTGTAACATTGTATCCAGTGTGTCAGTGTAACATTGTATCCAGTGTGTCAGTGTAACATTGTATCCAGTGTGTCAGTGTAACATTGTATCCAGTGTGTCAGTGTAACATTGTATCCAGTGTGTCAGTGTAACATTGTATCCAGTGTGTCAGTGTAACATTGTATCCAGTGTGTCAGTGTAACATTGTATCCAGTGTGTCAGTGTAACATTGTATCCAGTGTGTCAGTGTAACATTGTATCCAGTGTGTCAGTGTAACATTGTATCCAGTGTGTCAGTGTAACATTGTATCCAGTGTGTCAGTGTAACATTGTATCCAGTGTGTCAGTGTAACATTGTATCCAGTGTGTCAGTGTAACATTGTATCCAGTGTGTCAGTGTAACATTGTATCCAGTGTGTCAGTGTAACATTGTATCCAGTGTGTCAGTGTAACATTGTATCCAGTGTGTCAGTGTAACATTGTATCCAGTGTGTCAGTGTAACATTGTATCCAGTGTGTCAGTGTAACATTGTATCCAGTGTGTCAGTGTAACATTGTATCCAGTGTGTCAGTGTAACATTGTATCCAGTGTGTCAGTGTAACATTGTATCCAGTGTGTCAGTGTAACATTGTATCCAGTGTGTCAGTGTAACATTGTATCCAGTGTGTCAGTGTAACATTGTATCCAGTGTGTCAGTGTAACATTGTATCCAGTGTGTCAGTGTAACATTGTATCCAGTGTGTCAGTGTAACATTGTATCCAGTGTGTCAGTGTAACATTGTATCCAGTGTGTCAGTGTAACATTGTATCCAGTGTGTCAGTGTAACATTGTATCCAGTGTGTCAGTGTAACATTGTATCCAGTGTGTCAGTGTAACATTGTATCCAGTGTGTCAGTGTAACATTGTATCCAGTGTGTCAGTGTAACATTGTATCCAGTGTGTCAGTGTAACATTGTATCCAGTGTGTCAGTGTAACATTGTATCCAGTGTGTCAGTGTAACATTGTATCCAGTGTGTCAGTGTAACATTGTATCCAGTGTGTCAGTATAACATTGTATCCTGTGTGTTAGTGTAACATTGTATCCAGTGTGTTAGTTTTCTAGAATGAGCCTCCTCACTGGGCCGAGTTTTGCTGTTCATGAACAGTTTCTAAATGTGCTCGCCTGTCATAGATCACAGTCAGCTACGTATGTGCCTGCTTAACAACCCCTCCCCCAACAACAAAAATGTGAAGGACCCTGGATTGTAGTTGGCGGGTTTACTCTTTCTAACTCTTCAATGCTTCGCATGGTTCCCAGCACGAAGCTGACGATGTGTTTGCTACACGCTCTCGGCGCACTGCCTTCTCGCCACCCCCACGGCAGACCAGACCAGAGAAGCACAGGGAGGTGCAGTGGCCCCGCCAGCCTGCTCCTGGGAGACCTGAGTGATGCCCTCCGCTGCCCAGCTCCCCTCCTAACCCCCATTCTGAAGGCGGCATGGGGAGTGGCCATGTCCTCAGCCCAACCTCCCTGTTTCCACGGGGCTTGTTAACTATGTCCTGGCTCTTTATCCCCAAAGAGTCCTCGCCTTCTCTAAGAAGAAACCAAGGACGAAAGAACTCAGAAGTCAATGGAATTTTCATAGTTAGCAGCACGGACTGAGAAAACTATGGTCAGTGTGTCGGAGTTCAATAGTAACAGAAGCTTCTCATGCCTAAACATGAGACTACGCAGTGCCCCCAACAGTGACTGCTCATGAGCGGAGGTAGCCGTAGCCGGAGGGGGAACTGCAGAAGCCGGGGGGAGGGGCAGTCTGCATAGGACGGTGTGGGAAAGGGCACAGGAGCTGCTCGGAACTGTAACCCATGCGTTTGAACATATGCAGACATTCATATCCGCATGTTCACTTCCTGGAAGAGTGGGCACATAAGCCAAGGCATCTGTTCAAATACAAGTAGATAACTTAGCCAGAAGAAGTGGCATTTTGAAAAATATTTTCTTGGAAAATTATTCTCATCTTTTAAAAATCAAACCTTTTCTGACAACTCACCGGACTCTTCCCATGACATGCATGTGAGTGGGGGCTGATTTTAACTGCTACCCAGGGCTTCTGAATCACGTGGGCGTGGGCAGCAGGAACTGAGAATGTATGCTGGCAGTGGCTGCAGACAGGGGAGGAGTCTACACCACTCGGAGCCTGGCGGGGAAAACTAAGGTGTTTTCAAATTGAAATTGCAAACTGAATACTAGTTATTGTTATATACGAAAAGTGAGCTGACACATTATTTCCGCTCTCAAAGAGGTTTCCAGACAAAACCAAAACTGCATCCGTGCTGACGGGAGTAAAGAGGTCTGGGTGGTTTAATCCGCAGCGGTGGGTCCTGGCCCCAGGCCTCTGGGATTAATAGTCATGTTTCAAACTCAGCTCTGAAGACAGCCCACTTTTTCGTAGACTTCATGATGCATCCTGTGTCCCCATGGCATCTCCTTAAACAGTCAGGGTAACTATTACACAGACTGAGGTTAAACTCAGAAAAACTATCCAAAATGAAGTGAACATAATAAGCAAGATTATAAGAGAAAATAAGAAAAAATATGACAACATGTATATGAACATTTTCATTGATAAATATTGAAAACAAAAACTGTAATTTGGGAATGCACTAAACGTTATATTTTCCCATTCCTAAGCGAGCTAGTCACATAGGTTATATCAGCCTCAATGTTCTCTTCAGAATCGGTCCCTCCCACCCCCCAGGATTCCCTAGGATCCGGAGAAGCCATCTGCAATACCAAGTCTTGCAGATCGCCACTAGGTGGCGACCTTTCAACGTCCACAAGCAGGAGTGATGAGGACCCAGAATCAAGTTAATGCACTGCTGGTTAGTAGCATGACAAACACACCAATCGTTATCTGTTGGGGTGGGAGCTGGTATGTTTCCCACTTCACAGATGTTAAACAAACCCACAGCTGTCAAATGTCACGTGCAGTTAGCACTCAGCACCCCATCGACTGCCATGTCTGACAGGTTGCTAGTTTCCCATCGCTGTGAGGTTACCAGGACCACACGCTTACAGCTAAGGGCCTGTGATGAGAGACATTCGTGATGATCACGGGCTGGTCATGAGGCTCTGAGAGCAGCTCTACGTCAGTGGTTCTCAGTCCATCTTGCCTCCCGAGGGACATCTGACAACATCGAGAGGTGGTTTTAGTTGTCACAGTTGTAGGAGGCAGCGGGGCAGCTGCCGCCACGGCATCCGGTGGGTAGGAATCAGCAACACTGCCAGACACCCTACAAGGCCCACGGAAATGTCGCCCCAATCAGCAACAGACCTGAGGCTGAGGAACCGCTCTACGCGGTGAGCCTCCTGCAGTGTTTGATGGCTGTGGGCGTAGCGGGGGAAGATGGTATTTATGATGGTAGTACCCCCTATGTGTGTCAGCCACAGCTCTAGTCCAGCTAAGCAGCTCCTGCAAACCGTGCAACCTGAGGCCAAACATTCTACCTGTGGGTATTCTGTGACATCATGCCAATATCTTGACATCAGCTTTGGTGGGGGTATTTACACCCGGGAAATCGGCAAGCGCTACAGGCACTTTATTTATTTATTTGTAAGGAGTCAGTTGTTAAACACTGTCATGCCACTGCTACAATTAAGAAAGGAATCGTGAGGGGAGGGGAGAAGAAGAGACGAGAAGTAAGAGGCGTGAGGAGTAGATTCACTAAATCCTAACAGGGATTCTGGAAGCCCAACCACTATTTCCGTAGCAATTTTCACCCAGACTTAGGACTCGTGTTATCAACTATCCTCAGCACGAACACATGGATGCACAATGTTTTCCGCATGACCCCCTACCCTCTCACCCCCCTTCCACCCAGCTTTGTCATTCCAGACCCTGGACAGACACCTGAGAGCCAACCGCAGTGTGTAAGCGGCTCCTCGGGGGAGACGGTGCAGAGGACAGAAGTGAAGGATGAGGCAGACGATCATCGGACATAGCTTCCTGCCCACCCATTGGGCCAGGCCCGCTCCCAGGGGCACTGAGACTACCGCATGTCTACACACACCACCCACAACCCCGGCTCCAGCCTGGAAAAGCAGATACTGTTTCATGCTTCTACACACGGCATCAAGTGAAACATAAAATTGTATCAAAGAAGAAAACAGGGCGGCAAGAGTTCCCAGCATTAGGTTTTTCCTCGTTTATATATTCAAGGTTGTCTGCTGCTAACCCGCTCATCCATTTCTCCCGTTTAGCTGTGGATAAATGCGTATTTGAAAGTTAACAGTACAGGGTTACATTTTAGGACATATCATTTGACAGAAAATAAAAGAGCACAGAATTTTCAGGTTGAAACATAAGATAATGATAGCAATACACTAATTAATCCTGCTATTCAGTATATGAAAGACACGAGCTTTTGTGGGTGACAGAGAGAGAGAACTGCTATCCTAGGGCAGCAGTAGGTAATAAGGGGAAACGTCTGGCATATGCATACGACATTCTCGTGTTTTACCTCAAAGGTACAGAATTATTATTCACATTTTAAGGCACTCCCTTTATCCTGGCCATGGATTTGCTGATTTTTAGAACTATCCCTTTGATGGCTCTGCAGAACCGCTCAATGAAGCAGCAGCACGCTGCTTGTGAAATAAATTCCTTACACACCCACGTGAAAGAAAATGTGTCCTCGATTAGTTTCTTTTTCCTTTATCCAATTTGGTTGTTCCTGTGGCAGCCACAGCGCACAGAGCTCGGGTGTTTTATCTCATCAGTGCATTCTTGGCATTGCTTACTCATGAGTTACAACTTCGGAAAACAACATGAGGCATTCATTATATTCCGTTAGGTTCTACTTCATTCTAATTTGACCTCACAAAGGACAAAGACAGGTCATCTGTGCCATCGAAAAGGATAACCGGTAATTATTAGCATGTGATCATTTCCTCCGAATCAGGAGACAGACACAGTCTCCTCATGACCCGAACTGGATGTCACACTGAAGGGAGGGGAGGGAGGAACAAAGCCACCAGCTCTTTGCTGCACCCAGAGAACGGGGTCCAGGGGCCCAGTACCCAGGACAATTCACACCAAGGGGCCCGCCGCCAACTCACAGGCTTTCCTTTGGGGCCTCTGTCTCCTCTTGGTCCCTGCGATCCTGGAGGGCCCTGAAGCAGAGAACAGTGGTTACGCTGCAGAACACGTCCACATGCAGATGGTTCTGTTTGAAAGGCTTGCTCGGGATAAGAAGCTGGAAGACGGGGAAATCTCCCTTCGTTCTGAATTCACCTCAGTCACAGACTAGAAAATAAGCCACGTGCACACGGAAGCTGTGTGTATAGAGGGCTGTTTGCTTTAGCAGTGGCGCTAAGGCCTGTAAAGCATTAGCTGTTACAGCACAGCCCCGTGGAGGCCAGCGAGCTCAGCGTACTTGTTGGAACAGTCATGGCAAATTCGTAAAGATCATTCTTGCAGGCTTGTCCCTTATCTGTGGGCACAAAGACTTCTATTTCAGATTCTGAGAGCGACACAGATGTGCGAGCTCCGAATGTCACTGGTCTGAGTGAATGCCTGAGTTCACGTTGTTACATGATCCCCCAAGTTACTAACCAGCACTCGCGTCGCCAGGGGACGCGCTGGGAAGAAAGCTCTTGCCCCACACGTGCCTGCAAGAACCTCACTTCCTGTGGACTCAGAGCGCTGCCTCATCTCCCCTGTCTCTGTAAAACCCGCTCAGAACCTCCAAACAGTAACTGCAGTTCTTTACCCCTCCACAGGACAAGCGAGTATTGTCTTTCGAAAGTGGGATCCTTGTGCTCATGTTTAAACTAGCTCTTTTTCTACAAAACGGCTGTGGCCCAGAGAATCCCATTCTCTTCAAAAGAGGTTCAATTGAGTTAAGAAAATTAGGCTGTGCATTTGCTCAGTCCAACAGCCAGCACTGCTTAAAGGCCAAAGCTTCCAGGGGCCGGAGCAGGCCTGTGAAGGCCTTATCGCATGTTACTTCTGCTGATTTAGTGTCCTAAGTCCCACAGGAATCGTGTGTGAGGGAGTGTGTGTGTGTGTGTGTGTGTGTGTTATATCCATCTAGTTACCTATGAATGCTACTGAGAATCCAAACCTGAAATCCGAAATATGCTATTCCAATGTGTGATATCTCAAATTCTACTGCTATATAATTTCATTTCATCAATAGATAAAATCAACAATTGTTTCATTAAACAGATAAGAGTAACCCACCTTTAACACAACAGACAAGTACGCCCTAATGGCAATGCCAAGGCTAACCTAAACCAGCCGTACACCCATCGGCTGCTTTGCCCTTCACACAGCGAGAGGGACGCTGACCCGGGAGAAACAGCCGGCGCTGCACCTGCAGGACCAAGCGGCCCCGCGTCCCTCACTGCGGCAGGAGGCCTGCCCTGGAAGGTGCTTTAAGAAAAACTGCTGAGGGCCGCCAGGCGTCCTTGCTGGGCATTTACTGCCGTTTTGTGGCTGTGAGATTCATAAACATGTCCCGTCCCTTCCAGAACTTCCAGCACCGCGGACGCTGAAGGGAGCTACTCACCGAGGGTCCGGGCCGACCACGGATGCCGGTCACCTAAACGAGAAACAACAGAATTTGCAAAGACGAAACTTCTATCTACGGAGATTTATACAAGTCAACAGTCAAACAAAGAGGAGTAACAACAACAGCCCCAGAGAATTGTTAAGAAACAGGAAGGCTGTCGACTGAGGCCCCTTCCCTCCGGGAGCTGAAGCCCGTGACCCCAGCGCCGAGGCCGGAGGGCAGCCTGGCAGGGGCGTCGGAGCCAGGCCAGCTGCACAGCCTGCGCTGCCTCCTCTGTGCTTCGCCTTCTCTCCTGTGAGACGGTGATCAGGACTGTGAATGACCTCCTCACGGTTTGTGCTGACGACTAGCAAGTATCTGAAAAGCACCTAAAACAGCACCTAAGACACAGTGATGGCGAACCTGTGACACGCGTGTCAGAGGTGACACGCAAATTCATTTTTTGGTTGATTTTTCTTCGTTAAATGGCATTTAAATATATAAAATAAATGTCAAAAATATAAGTCTTTGTTTTACTATGGTTGCAAATATCAAAAAATTTCTATATGTGACACGGCACCAGAGTTAAGTTAGGGTTTTTCAAAATGCTGACACGCTGAGCTCAAAAGGTTCACCATCACTGACCTAAGACATGGGAAGCACACAGGAGTGTTTTAAATGAAAGGGAAAACGAATGATCTTCTCTTCAGGTCACCTGTTCAAAATAAGCCGACCTAATGGCAAAGCGAAAGACGCCGACACTGCCAAGCAAATGAACGTGCACACGCTTTTTATTGACGGAACGGCAGTGACTCCTTTAAAATCCACGATAGTGGTTGCTGAAGAACTGTCATCCTACTTAGTGATCTGCGTTTATCACCTACAAATCTAGGTGACCCTTAAGAACTTTTATACAATGTGTGTGTGTGGGGGGGGGCATTTGCATACTTTCAACAATAAGATAATTTTTAAAAATGACTCCACACCACATGAGTCTCAGGCAGGAGGACGGCATCACCGTGTCCAGAGAGTGGACACCCAGTCTCACTCTCTTGGGATCACAGGGCGATTATATTATTGAAAATGTGTGTCTGTTACTTTATAGCCACATGCAACATATTTATTTTTGTAAAACCCTGATTTTCACCTTTAGTTATGGGACTGTAAAAGTCAAGAATATTGTACTGAATGAGCATTAAGTTTTGTATGAAATAAATAATCTATTTTGGTTAATATTCAGAATTGTATTTAATAAACATAAAAGTTTATATTAAAATTAACTATTGTATTAGAGAATTAATCTTGGTTTGCTTGTCTTATACTAAAAACTTGGTTATAAAATAACAAATTTCCCTTTCTTTGAGAGCATGCACCTGAGTATAATATACAGCTCTTAGCTAGCGGGTGGAAGGGGCGTGAATGTGACATAAACATGTACTCACAACAGGCACTGATCCTGGCTCTCCTTTCTCTCCCTGTGAAGCAAGAAGAAAACTTTAATTAGCAAAACATGATGGTTTGTTGAACATGAACATGTCATACTACAATGTTCTATGTAAACCCTGGAAATGTCGATGTAAGAAACAAAAAAAATTCAGAAGAGAGAGTTCATCAATTTTGGATATTGAGTCAGACATTATTCATGAGAAAAAACACTACTCATCTGAAAGCTAGAAGAAGAAAGCAAAGCCAATTCCGTTCTTACAACAGCCAAACCCAACGAGCTGATGAGACCAAGACGTGCTTGTGACGAACACATGTCAAGTCAACGCAGGAGATGCTACCTACATGCGACAAACGAAACGTTCTAGGGATTCGGACACGTGAGTTCCACACGCACCTTACATGCCACCTAGGTTTTAATCACGTGCCCGATGCCGGTCCTAAAACCTGTGCCACCCTCCCCTAAAACTCTGGGAGAATCTGAGAAATAACCAGAGATAAGAGTGCTCAACTTAATAAAAAGAAACGGGAAAAATAAGAAAAGGTGTGACAATATTAGATAATTTAATATCTGAGGAAAACCTAGAAAAAAATATTGATTAATAGGAAAATAAAAACTAACATAAGAAACTATCATAATCTAAAGTAAATAAAGCCAAGCACTTTAATTTGCTTGTATAATAGATGTATCAAACACAAAGGGTGTGGATGGAATTTCTTTTGATTCTTAGAACCTTAGAATCTCAGAAGCTGTGTTTTGTTGGCATGATGCCAAGCACACAGGATAAGTAACAGTGGGTGGACTGTCCCGACAGATCCCTATTTTATCACATTTTGCCTGGGTTTTGTATCTCAGGATCTGTCACCCTGCCGACCTGGCCTCCCGAAGGCATAGCCCTGTCCACTTCACACCCTCCGCCTGGCACACACATGCTCAATAAACGCTTCGTGAATATATTTTCATTGATAGCTTATGAATCGATGCTTTTTACTAGACAATTGCAGAGAATAAATACATTAAGGAGTATACTCATTTGAGTAATGAGTTCTATTTTAATTTCTTCTTTCACATATATTGTTCTTTTACCTAATTATAAAAATAATACGAGTTCATAGTACTTTAATACTTTGAGTGATTAATTTAAACAAATTAAACTGATTATTTTAGGGCAGTTTTCACTGAAATTTTTTAAATAGAGAAAAATAAAGAATAATCTAAATATCTTAATACTCTGGAGATAGTTAATATTAGTTTCCATCATGTGTCTGAACTTGGTTTACCTAATAAACGCCTCAGTATTTTACTCTTAGATTTTGTCTTCATTTTTACAATTAAAAAATAACCTAACAATGAATGCCCTTGCTTATGAATGTTTGTGTGGCCTCTCTAATGAATGCCATATGACATATCTCTAGAAATTAAAGTTGTCAATTAAAGACAACACACGTTTTAAAGATTTCTTCTCTAAGTCACCAAATTGCACTCCCGGAGGCACAAGCTAACTACACCCCAGTGTCTCACGTCTGAACACGTGTCGTGAGGTGAGACTTTAAAATCCTTTCGCAGCCTTGATGGCCGTGGTGATGAGCTCCACGGCAGAACCACATGGTCCTGCTTGCTGCTTCCCAGACTGAGGCTAGTGTCTGCAGGTCAGGGGCAGACTGAGACCTCAGAGCAGAAGCAGGAGGGGGCTCTAGGTGAGTAAGTTCCAGGGGATCGAGCCCGCAACCCCGGCCTGTGCCCTGACCGGGAATTGAACCGTGACCTTCTGGTTCATAGGTTGATGCCAACCACTGATTCGCACTGGCCAGGCAATCATTTTAATTGTGTAGAAGGGATATATAAATCCATGCCCAATAAAAAAAAAAAGGACCTTATTTTTTTAAAGTTTCTTTCTGGAACAAGTTTAAAAAAATAAGTAAAACGGGAGGATAAATTATTTCAGCCAAAATGAGAAAAATAGGATAGCATGCTAAGAATGGTTGTGAAATCTCTGTCCTAAGAGAGCAGCAAAAAAAAAAAAAAAAAAAAAAAAAAATGTTGCTTTGTATTCAGAATGGAATCTGCTGATGTCTTTCTTAGCTACATTGTTGGTTTATTTGGTATCTCCTTATGAGCTCTCTATCTGTCTGCAATATTTGATATGGGATTACATATTCCATTGTCAGGTTCTGATAATACACTTGTCTTATGTGTCTATGATACTTCTTACTTGGAAATAAGCCACAAGAGTAAATATTTGCTGCTTTGTTAATATGGGCATTTTAAATACCTTAACATGGGCTTTGTTAATGAAGTTAATTTATGTGGAAGGATAATTTATCTAAAGTGTAACTAGATTTGGTTTTTATACCCATTTAAGTGCCCAAATTCAGACGAGAATTAACAGTTTAATTTTACATCTTGTCTGTTACTCGCCATTCAAGGCCCCATCACTTTTATAAGATGGGGTGCTTGTCCCACTACCGCCTCATTTGTATTGTTTGCCTCGACTGAGGGTTGTGATGAATAAATTATAATAAGACTCAGCATCGATATACCCCAAGCACCTGCTTCTAAGCATCACCTGCTCTCGCTGCTGGGACCCTGGTGATCAGGAGCAGAGCGCAGCTGCCCTGGCACCGCCTGGCTGTGCCCTGCCCCTGCGTCCCGCCCGCCTTCGGAAAAAGGCCGGAACTAAATGCCAGAGCCAACCCTGCCCGTCTATGCCGTGCGTGACGCCAACAAACCAAGCCGGTTACTTCAGGGCCGTTCTTGGGTCAGTTCTTTTTTTATTTCATGGATCTTCTATGTATTCATTGAGTTTGTTTGAGACCTGAATTCGAACGCTTAGGTTTCAGTTCTCCTAGCTTTTAGATCTAAACTAAAAGCAAACTGGCATTGGCAGGCCTCTCCTCTGACCTGTGTCAATTAAGACAAAGGTGTGAGATTGCCCACGGCAGGAAGTGTGGCCGCGCCCTGGCATCCGCTGGCCAGCGCCCCCTGCATCCCGAGCACAGCACTGCTGCACCTGCGCACGGCCCAGCACTCAGTGCCGCTCCAGCCTCTGCAAGCCGGAGACGCGTTACATGTGCGGGTGATCGGGCAGCAATCGCCTTGAAACCTGGGGTGACTGCCTGTTTCCACCGAATCCTGTGCCCCTCCCACTGGGATGAGACAGAGCAAATGCCGCCGCTCCCACGGTAACCAGGAAGCTGAGAGCACAAGCAGGAGAAGTGGACTCTCCTCACTAGTGGGACTACCATTTCCCGGTGACCGGTGGGTGACGGCCAGTGTGGGAGGCCATGGCCATCGGAAACGCCTTTCCTCCTGAGAGTAAGGCTTGACCTTGGGGCTAGATTTTAGGCTCCTTGAAGGTGAGAAAGGGGGGGTGGTATGTGTTTGGTAAAATGCTCAATTAATTCCTTTAGTTGAATCTTTACTTCCCAACTAATGGAAGAGGGACCACAATTCTACTGAAGTAGAACTAATTCCCTCCCTCCCTCCCTCCCTTACTTCCCTCCTCTCTCCCTCTCCTCCCTCCCCTTTCCCTCTTTCCTCTCCCCTTTTCCTC